GGGCAATATGCTGACTCTCTGTAAACCGCTTAGAGAGGCCTGAAAGGCCTATGAAGCGGTATATAAGTCTACTGCTATTGCTATATTGCTATTGCATTATGGGTGTGGGCATGCACAAACATGCTATTGCGCATGCACATGTCCTTTTGGCACCCGAGCAGAAAAATGTTCGCCATCACTGACCTATATTGTCCTTTGTTATAGAACTGGATTAAGTGTCTTAAGAACGTGTGCTGTAAACTTGGTACATTTCTATAAAGAGGGATGGGAATACTAGTGGGACAGTGTTAATGGCAACTAATCATGGAGTTGATTTTTTTTGGAGTGCACCAATTTACAGAGAGTTACAGACAGAAAACTGTTTTCCAGAAAGTTAGATCATTTGTCTACTTATATTCTCACCTAGATATTAAACAATGTGACCTATATACTTTAGAAACTTGACTAACTGCCATTGTTCTCCTTTAGCTTAATGTTGACTACACAGAAAAGACCATCTCTATCAGCAACTATCCACTCTCTGCTGCTTTGACGTGTGCTAAAATCACCACAGCCTTTGAAGAAATGTGGGGAGTGGTATAAGCTTCCTGTTTTGCTTATAGATTCGTAACCTATGATGTTTTGGTCTAACAGGCTCTGTGTTGTAAATGTTCTGTACTGTACCCTTATTTATGGGAAATACATCCTTAATTACTTTTTTTGTAGTAAATACTGTTTGTATATAGCACTTATATACCGCTTCATAGTGCACAACCCTCTGTAAAGGTCTTACAGAGTCAGCATATTGCCCACAACAAACAATCCTCATTTTACCAACCTTGAAAGGATGGAAAGTCAACCTTGAGCCGGTCAGTATTGAACTCCTGACAGTGGCACTGAGTTCGCCTACAATATTGCATTCTAACCACTGCACCACCACAGTTCTTAATAGTTTGCAATAGTTGCTGATATTTCCACCAGGCTCCCCACCCCATTTTTTTTCTCCCCAAAATTATTTTAATCAAAAAATAAATATGAAACTGATATGGCACAAAGCCCTAACTTTTAGCATCTTATTTGTTTACCAATTTCTTTACACCCTTTAAAAGTTCCTCTGGGATTATACAAAACTTCCGGGAGACTAATTTTCCTTTGTGATTTGCTATGCTTTTGCCATGACAGTCACATATAACTGGCAAGTCTCAAGACAGTCATTTCACCTGTATCTCCAGTTTAAAAAATATTTCCCTGCTTCTCCACACGAACTATAGTAAGTCAGTTGAATAAACAGTTTTGGAGGCTAGAGAGCAGTGAATAACATTAATACCATCACTGTTTCCAGAGGTAGCCTCACTTAGTTCCAATGATGCCCAACTGACAAGATATGCATACTATTTTGTCACTTGCCCTCCTGAAGATGCCTGTAACTGTCTCCTGTGTTCAGGAGAAATAGAATTATCAGAACACACACTTTGGTTAAAATGTACTCACCACTGCTGAAACTGTACCAAGATTGGCATTGTATATAAGCAATTATCTGTACAAAAAGAGAAGCGTACTCGGTTGCTGTGGTGCACTTCATTAAAGGCACAAGAACAAGGTGTGAAGATAAAGTGGGTAACCTTCATGTGCATCCAGGAGACAAGGTCAATCTCTGAAGAATCAGCATACCACATTTAACTATGTTCCTCATTTTTACCATAAGCTACAAATAACAATAGTAATAGAAAAACAGTACCAGTTCCAAAATCTGGTGAAAAGAAGCAGCTGAAGCATGAATGAAAAACCAACTTGGACCAATTTTATCTAGTGGAATTGGAAAGTAAAAAAGTCAGGCAGATGCTCCATTCCTAGATGGGAGCTGGATCAAGTGCTTTACAATCATGACATTGCAGAGGTGGAAGTGTCTGGGGAGAAGTTGAGATAAGGCAACCTGTAGAAAGGGTAAAGAGGTCTGCAGCCTGTTCCCCTCAGTTTGGGGTCTTGACCCCTGTGCTCTTTCACCCCAGTCACTAATACAGTTTGTCCACAGCAAATTTGGCAGGTGATGCTTCAACCATCCTGTAATAAATGCACACACGGTACAATCTGAAAGAAAAAGCAAAATAAGTTAACTAGATGTCACCCAAGACCACTATGCTCTAATGACTAGTCAGGAATAGTTCTCTCACCTTTTGGGCATTACTCAGCTTTCTTTAGCTTTTCTTTTCGTGGCACAAATATTTTTCGGAAATAAGGCAATGTAAACAGCAACGTAAAGAAGAACACATGGCCTACGAAATAAATAGACATGTACACCTGCAAAAGAGGATGAGGAAGTCAGTGTGCTGTGTCTTTCTCCAGCCAGTAAATCGAGGGGAAATGCCCTCTTGTAGAGAATCTGACTCCTTTGGTACCTTAATCCACTTTTCCAAGCTAAAGAGGCAAAATGGTACTAGAGAATATCCCATGAACATCCAGTGAATAATTTGCTGAATCAGGTAAAAGAAGGGCCTCAATATGATGTTTGAAGACAAGGCAGACAGAAATGGACTGTCATTTACCAGTTTAATAGCCTGTAATTACAAAAAAGCCAAAACCATAATAAGCTTTAAGCCTACAGATGAACAAATAAAACATGGCTCTCTGCTGCTTACCCATTTTTTACTTTCCTTCCTCAGAAATATCTCTTCAGTGAGCTTATTGCCATCTCTATTGAGCAGCAGTTGTTTCAACAATCATTTGGTATTTCTATCAATTCTCACAAGTTGCCAATCAGCTTCAAACTGCTCAGTTTGAAATTGTTCTGGGTTCCTCAAGAGATTGTTTCCCTAAGCCAATGTGTTGCAGTTGTCAACCACTTCAAAGAATGTAATCTGCATTTATTCCTTTTCCTGCATGGATTTACATTTACTAATGTCTTCCACACAATGAAATGCACAGACTTAACACTTTATTTCCTTCTCTTAAGAAGAGTTCAACTTAATTACTTAGCATAAATGTGTCATTGAGGAAGCTCAAAAGCAACTTTCAGTACTTAAGAGTCCTTGCACATTGTGATAATTGCTGGATTCATCCATGTGCTAAAATGTAATCTGAAACAACCTGATTCAATGAACTGAATGAACCAAATGCAGCTTTAGGGGCTTCTGATCTTGCTCCTTTCATTAAAATGAAAGCAGTGTCACAATGCAAGTTCCATTCCCGCTGAACATCAGTGCAATGCTGCATGTGGAAAACAAGTGGGACTTGTAGCACATCACTGGTTTTATCAGTCTGACTATTCTTTCTTGTGCCCATGGATGGCTCAGCATAATTTTGTCACTCAATCTATAATTCACTCTATTTGACTTCTTTAAAAAAACAAACTGGATCCAGATACTAAATATTATCTAAGATAATGCTTTAAAAGGTCCTCACCTGCCGCTCCACCATGACAATCAGGAACTCCATTTGGAAGCAAACTAGATACCCACAGTGTAACCCATGCCAGACAGCCAGGAAAAGCAAAGCCATAGCTTGCGATAGTAACTTGTTTCCTAGGAATTTCAGCCGTTTGTATACATAGCTAGGAATGGAAATATAATATTGTCAGGACAAGTGTCAACAATATTTTGTTTCTCCAGGGGGAAAAAAACACTTAACAAAGCCATCCAAGAAACTGCCAACATTTTATTCTTTAACTTCAGGCTGTTCAAAATAAAGGGCAAATATTAAAATTTTGCAGGCTCTAGCTTTAAATGATATGAGAATACAAGATGCTTATTAAAAGTTCCAAATATAAAAGGTTCTCAGTGGATACTGAAATCAGGGATACTGTTTCAGTGTTCTGAATAGCTCCTTGCTCTTAAGTCAAAATAATTCTTAGAATAAATCATATTTGTTTTGTGGAAGTGGGAGGAAACTATAGCTGCATTTCTTTCATCATGGAAGAAAGCAACATACATTTAATTCTTACTCACATTTTAGGTATTGACTAGCCCAATTCTCTTAGCCTCCAGCTGTATATTCTCTGCTTTTCGAGCCAAACAACAATCTTGGGAGGCTTAACATTTTTTAGAGGACTACAAACTGCAATGGGTTGGGCAATGCAAGAGGGCAGTCATATCGTATGATTGAGTGAGTTTTGGAGTTTTATCTGTTTTTGTTTTTGTGCATTATGTTGCTCAAACTCCCTGGGAGACTTGCAGCTGATTTTCTGCAGTAGTGGTCAAAAATGCTCTGGGAGCGGCAAATTGTTCACTCAGGCCTTGCACACAAAAATCACCTAATCTTCCCAAACACAATCTCATCCCCATCCCATCCTTATTTCTCTCCAGCTGCCTAAAACCATTTTGCAGAAAACAGCCAAGTTATGCTTACCGGGCTACCCAGTTGTTGGTGTTAGTATTGAAGGAGGCAATGGTTCCTGTAAAATAAGGAGTTGTCTCGAACGTCCAGATTTTCATGTTGGCACAAGCATCCCACTGTGGTAACCCCTTTTCATCCCTTCCATTGTAGCCTAGTCCAGTTAAGATGCAAACTCCTTCCTGGAATGAAAATAACAGGATTATTAAATTATGCCAATTAGATATTATTCTATCTAACCTAATTAGAAAACATATTCAAAGTCCTGGATTAGTGGCTAGACACAATAACGGGCTAGATGAAGTACAATAAGCTAAAATTAAGTCCAGTGTTAATTACCGTAGTAGCAAAGTGAGCTAGAGATGAGACTCTCCCTGAAAGAAGAGATATCCAGCTTGATCTGGATTCCCATGTGGCAGCTGTGGTGAAGAGCATAGATTTGAACAATTAAAAGAAACCCATCAGCTACAATGATTCTTGAAGTGGTCACATTTAACTATTTTTCCCCACCTTAGTGACAGCTTGAACTATTATAACAGATTCTATGTGGGAGTAATCTTGAAAAGTGCCTGAATGATGTAAACTGGTACAAGATCTGCACTAAATCAAAACTGCTTCCTGGATATAGTTTAAAGGATTGATATTATTTTTTAAACTACTGAATAGGTTAGGTTAGCTAGAACTGCTTCGCCTGCCCAAGTACTAGAAGCCTAAATATCACTTGGGTCTCATTCACCATCTTCAGCCTGGGTTTTGGGCTTAAAGCATGGTCAGAGCTGCCGTCATTCTATAGGGGTGTGTGTGTGTGTGAAGTGCTGCCTTTGTTTCAGTAAATGGAATGATTGGTTGTGTGGTTGTATCATGATTGGTAGATTGGTGCTGATTGATGCTGGCTGTGTTCCATTGTTGTTTCGTGTTGTAACGGCCTGGGTGGTGGGTGGGGCTAGTTTGTTGATTAGGGCTGGTTTCCAGATGTCTGGTAGGCGGGAGGTATCGTCACGTTTATTCATGTTGTGGGGGTGTTTCTCTATTTCAATAATTTCCATAAATATTCTCTTGTTGAAGTGTTCAGTTTTGGAGATTAACCTGGTTCCTTCAAAATTAATTTCATGTCCTGTAGCTTTAAGGTGCTGAAAAAGGGAGGAAGTTTTTTCTTTTTTCTTACTGCGTTCTTGTGTTCTGCGATGCGTGCATTTATTCTCCTGTTTGTTTGTCCTATGTATGCTGTAGGGCAGATTTTGCATGGTATTTCGTAGACTCCTTGATTTTCTAGCTGGATTTTGTCTTTGGGATTTCTTAAGATGTTGGCTACTTTTTGGGCAGTGTTGAAGGCTGTCTTGATATAGTGTTTGTTGAGAATTTTGCTGATTTTATCTGTGGTGCCTTTGATATA